AGGCCCCCAGGCTCCCAGGCCCCCAGGCTCCCAGGCCCNCAGGCTTCCAGGCCCCCGGCTCCCAGGCCCTCAGGCTCCCACACCCCCAGGCTCTCATGCTCCAAGTAACACAAGCTCCCAACGAGAACAAATGGACTTCTCAATTTTGAATGTATAGCAACCCTAAGTTCGACCTGTTAACATAGTTGACTGGAAAGTGCATGGCACTCCCTTAGGGAGCCGGAGAAAGCTGTTTACATCGAACTATCCAGTCATAAGAAGCCATTATCCTTATTCTGTAGGAATCAAGACAATTTAAACGTGGAAATCCCCTTTAGTTCTGGAAGCAAATGGACATCCCATTTTCGAATGTACAGCGAAAGTAGTCAAGCAACTGTATGCCGTGCATAAGCAGTCTGGAAAGGATTTGAACTTGATGCTATTTATGTTGTAGAACTAAATTTGTGGCGGTCAGCTCTCTGGACGAACTGGTTTCCGTATCATGCCGTGCAGATCGCACGGGCATCTCTAGGGCACCTTGCCCTATATTAGCTTCCGCTTATCTGTCTAACTTGTAACACAACGACGTGCTAAGGTTGTATGCAATACGTGCTAAGCAACGGCACAGTTACCATTCACAACAGGTTATGAGCCCCGCATAAGGCGGGAAGCAACGATACAAATGTCTGAGCGAATGACCTACACGGAAAGGCTAAACGTGGCAAATAGGACCACTTGGCTCATACGAACTAAAGCAGAGATCATCAAGCTGAAAGCTGGAAGTGCGCTCGTAAATGCGCTTGACGAAAGCAATTCTACCTCGGTTGAACGACATCAGACGGCGTGCGCCGTCATCTGCGGGCTACTGGACGATAAAGATCTCCCGCTACTTGAGAAGCATAAGGACGCGCGGGACTTGCTCAACGCGCTAGACGAAAGGTACAAGGGGCTAATGGAGCATCACGTGACCCGGCTGTGGAGGGACTTTAACGCGTTCAAAATGCAGCCTAATCAAAGCCTAAGGGACTACATCAAGCGGATTAAGGACATCGTCGAGGAGCTGACTGCATGCAAGCAGCCGGTAGCCGATGCGAACGCGGTCTTGATTGCCCTTAAGGGGCTCCCCTCCAGATATGACCCATACGTTGCACCGTATTATAGCACACCCTATGGCATAAACATGCCGGTTACCGACCGTTTGGGGCCCATTAACCCAACCGGCCGGTT